GGATGGGTCAGAAATCTGCTAAAGCTTTGCTTACTATTTGTAACTTTGAGCTGGCCTAGTAAAATTATTTCTTGAATTAGATTTGAACTGAGGCAAAATGTTTGCATGTTTTTTTATGCAGCACATAACATTATTTCTCAAAGCAGTATTTAACAGCCAGTAGTCATACTACATAACTCAATCTTCAACTTATTGTTCAGCATTCAACTGCCATTTGTGACACTCTCGTGTCAATGTTCATTTGTTTTTACAAAGGGGAAAATTAGACTTTAATTGGCTTCAGAACATTCAGAACAAAAAGTGTAAAAAAAATGAAACATTTGGCTAATTTTGCTTAGCTAGTTACACTCTGAAAAATATGTTTGAATGGCACAGTGGGAGATAACTGTGATTCATTTAAAGTAAAAAATGCAGCAAGGTAAATTTATACTGAAGGTTACAGTCAAACTCCTCTGGCTGAGTAGCTTGTGCTTGATTTGAATCACATTGACATATTCATCCATGGTTAGGATCCCCAAGGGAAAGCACTTCCAAATAAATAAGTTGAAAGATTAAAAAGGGAAATATTCTGAAACAAAACATACATAAGGCATTAACCACAGTCACTTTCTAAGCTACAGCATAAAATCTGCAGGTTATCTTCTCAAAGAATGAAAAAAATGGACTTCAGAGTGCAGAAGGCTAATATTAGTGCTGCTGCCACTGACTATTATTTTTGCCAAAAAACAATCTAACCATATTATACCAGCTGTCTTAAAGTGATTCTGCCACAAAATGGACTCAAACCTTTATCCATATATGTAGGCAATAGTCCTGCTGAATTAGCAAATCAGAAAATAGTTGTTTCCATCCACTCAAGAATTTGTTCTAAGAATCCAGATACATTTTCATCTGCATAGGTCATGGTCGTTATTCTTTGGTTGTATAAAATAACAGGTGGACACCTATTCCATTTATTCCATGTCACAGTTGCACAAGTCCATCTCTCTCCCCCCAGCCCCAACATACAGGTCTGAACTTAGGTAAATTGGGACGAGTTGACATGAGTGAGTGTAGTACGTAATGAGAAAGTATGCATTTTTCATACACTGGGAAATGCTATGGGGGAATAAGGGCAAAGCACACCAACCATGCCCTACTTGCCCCATAAAATTATTCCAGAATAACTCCTAATTTTGTTTTATGGAAAATCTGGAGAAATCAAAGTGCTCTGGATTTTACTTCAGCTGTGCTGCAGTTGATCTGAAAGAATTTAGCAGATCAAGAATATGATTTGTTTCAGGTTTGAAACAACACAAATTTTATTTCACTACTTTTGTTTCACTAAATATGAGGAGTTATAATTAAGTAAGAGCTGGATGGGTATAGACTTTCAACATCTAATTTTGCTAATGCGATTTTGATTATGGGACTCAAAAATAAATTAGAATGCTGGGGACTTCCGGTTTGTCGGCTTCACGAGCGGCAGGGATTCGCGAAGCTGCGCGATCCCTGCTGCGCTAGCCGCTTTTGGGGCTCCGATCTGGACGGGTACGGAGCTAGGCTGCCCTGCAGGGGCAGCTGAAGGTAGGGGGGATCCGGAGAGGGGTTTGGGGGTGTTGCAGACCCCCTCCCCGGCCGGCAGAACCCCCTCTTCCCAAGACGGTGCAGCGGCGGTCCGTAATGGCCGCCACAAAGAAGCTGGCAGCCGGGTAAGAATGCGCAGGAGGAAGTGGAGAAAGTTTTTGAAAGGAGAAAGTTCTTCTTGGTTCCTAGGACTCTAAGACATATTTAACAAAATTCCTGAAAAGTATGACTTTCTGAATGATACCTTCTAGAAGAGGAAAAAAGCGGCAGTTTGATGGTGCTGAAAGGAAAGCTTACCCTCTTTTCCTACGGAATAAATAAGTGAATATTAAGAAACCTATTTTTTTTAGGTGAAAACTGGCTTTAAGCGATGAGTGGGAAGAGAGAGGACTAAAAAAAAAAAAATTTGTATGCTAAGACTTTGTTGGAGGAGATGCCTTAAGGATTTGAAGACTAAAATATATTGCAATAAGATTTTAAGAAACAGATTTGGACTTTCTTTTTCTCTGATTGATACTACCCCAGGAAGTGAGAACTCTGCCTTGGTTTGGACTGATTGATAACTTTGGGACTGTTTTATTTTTTCTTTGGAATATTCTGGTTGTTGTAAGAAGAAAGAAGGGGAAAAGAAAAGAAAAGATTTATAATGGCTCTTTCTATTGAGGAACTGAGAAAAGATTATGAACAAGCAAAAAAAAATGGTAAAGCTGGTTTGAAAGAAGCCTTCCTTTTCTTAGAAATGGCGCTAATTAACTATCAACAAACATTACAACAGATGAAGACAGCAGAAGAAGAAGAAGGAAAGGAAGCCATTTTTAATAAATTTCAGAACTCGACCAAGAAAGAAGGAAGAGGGAAAGGAAGAGAAATAAAGGACTTAAGATTTAAAAAAACACTCAAGAAAGGGAAAAATAAGGTGCAAAATCAATATAATGATAGTAAACAAAAGGGAAAAGGAATACGACAGAGAAGGGAAGCCAGTAAGGCAGAGGCTAGAAGAAGGGGGGGGTAGAAAGGTTTGTTGGGAGAAGAAAGAAAGGGAAAAGGTGGAGAAAAGCTACAAAGTTTTGAAATTAAATGGGAAAAAAGGAATCTTTTTTAGGGATAAAGGATAAAGTATAATTTCTTCAAAGAGATTTTGCAAGGTACATAAGATGATATTGTAGTATTGTATTAGAAATAGAAAACTTAAATGGTTTAAGAGTTGATAAGAGATTAAAATGTTGAAATGTTTAATAATGATTGTTTTTAAAATTTAATAATATGAGGGGAGGTTTAGAATATTGAGTTTTAATTAAAGAGTTTAATAAGATTATGGTATTGATGTTATTATAAAATTTCTATTATAGTATTTGTTTTTAATATTTAGATCTATTGTTTAACTATGTATTTAATTATTCTGGATGTACTATTCAGATAGAATGTACCAAGCAAAATCGGATTGGGTATTGGGCGTTATTTTAAAGGTTAATTTGATTAATTTAGGGGGGAGATAGAAAGGCATCATACTCTGATTAGTGATTTCAGGAGAAACTTCTTTTTTTTAATAAGGAACGAGACAAAGGGACAATAAAGAATGGACAAAAGATACAAATATAATGACTCAAATTAGATGATTAATTAAGATAGAATTAAGAAGAGTGAAATATGTGGAGTAGTTAATATAGAAGACTTAGAATGGTAAATAAAATAAGTAATGATATGTAAGATGAGCATGAATATAATTGAAGTCCATAAAGAGAGAGATACCTGGGTCCAAGTTACTTTCCAAAAAGATTTTTTTTATGTTTTGTGTGTTGTGTGTATGTTTTTTTGGGGGGGGAGAATTAATAAAACCTTGCAGAAATATAGAATGAGAATAATGGTAACTAAGTCAGAAAGAAATAGATGAAATAATAATAATAAAATTGAATAAGAGTAAAGAGAAATAAAGAGAAACTGGATAAGAGGTTTTTGTATGTTTATATGGAAATGGTTTAAAACAGAATTATAGTTTATCTGACTTGTTAAATTTATAATGGAAAAAGGTTTAAACATGTAATGGATAATGATTTGTGTGTTTTGAAAATTAATAAAACTTGTTTTAAAAAAAATAAAAATAAATCAGAATGCTGTGATTTATATGGCTGTTTCATAACAAATATTGAAAAGGGCAGCTGCTTAAAAAAATTTTGGACTGTGGAAAAAAGAAAATTGACTGGAATTTGACTTGGAACCTCCTTCCTGTCATTTAATTTGACTTTAATAACAATATAGATAGTTGTTAAAGTCAAGTTAAAGTGGAAGCTCTTTAACTGGATTTTCAAAAAGCTCAGCTTTCCAAAGATTAATTGAAGTTTTTTGAGCAAATGTAGCAGTTCTAGAGTAAGAAAATAGATCCACTAATAGTAACTGGCTGAAGAAAACAAAGCAGAAGTAAAATAGCCAGTTCTCACAAAGAAGGAATAAAAAATATGTAAGTTCTTTAAGATCCTTATTGGGAGCAATTAATTCATGAGCAACCTTACCTAAGGAAGAACCATGAGTTCATCACATTTGCTCAGGGGTGAGATGCAAATATTTTTACAACTGGCTCTGTGGGCATGGCTAGGTGGGCATGGCCATGTGACTGGGTGGGCATGGCTTTTTTTCCAGTAAATCTCCCCACACTGTTTTTTTGCCTCCTGGGCATCAGGGAAGCCTCCTGGGGTAGGGCATTTTTGCTCCCAAGAGGCTTCCCTGAGCCCCAGGAGGCAAAAAAACAGAGTATGGTGGGGACACCCATTTTTTTGCCTCCTGGGCGAAGCAGTAAGTCAGTGAGGGGGATCCCAGCATAGCTGATCACTGGAACAGATGATGTTGGGAGGAAAAAAAAGATTGACTGGGCGGGGAGGGGAGGGGCCAGCAGGGGGCACGATTTGCCAGTTCTCTGAACTGCACAGAATCATAACAACCGGTTATGTAGGACTGGTAGAATCCTACCCCTGCATTTGCTGCAAATATAAATAGGGTGTGTGTGGCTTAAAAAATGTTCTTAAGTCTGCAGTGCTAAAGAATATGGCTGGATCCAATTCTCTTTTTGACTTACCTTAATGGCATTGGTAACTTCTCCTGTGTATTTCATGCTTCGTATGTTTTAGAAAGTAAGCATCTTACTGTAAGCTTAACTATTATGAATTTGATATAAAAGCTAACTTTTTCTTTAGCAGATATATTGCTGATGACCCTCAATATTTCTAGTTTGACTATATATAGTGAATAAATTCATATTTGATAAGGTTTTTTTAAAAAAAGAATCTAATTTGACCTTAGAGAGGTATCATTTTATAGAAGATTGAATATATTTTATGTCAAAATATAATCACCCAATAAAGCTGGTGATGCAACCTAAGGATACATTATTGCAACTCTTCTAAAAACCAAACAACAAAACTATAATTTATTGTACTCTCATCTTCATTCTATGCCAGGTGTTGGTGGATTACACAGAAAAAACTACATTATTTAAAGTTTCTACTAAATATAATAAAAGATAATTAACATTTAGTTTGTTACATTGAAAAAGTGTACATATTTTAATTGTTTTGTTAGCTTTACCTAAGTTTTTTTCAACTATTAAAAAAGAAAAATCAATTGTTCATAGTCAAAAACATTCAAATCAGTTGATACAACATTACAGTACAGCCAACTAAAACTGTTCAAAATCTTGTCATCTTATCTCAAGTTTAAAAGAGTCCTTAGACCAGATTATGACAAGGCTGGTTTAATGTATTTTCAAGTTGGAATCATTAAGATTTTGTAGGATACTGTACTTCCTGTTGATGGCTTCAGAAGAAAGGGGATCAAGCGACTTGAAAATCAAAGGGCAATCCTAGCCTTTAATTTTATAATAGTTAGATCAACTTTGTTAAATTAAGCACAAGTAAAAAATTGGAAGCTAGGTGAAGCTGCCATTTTTGTGTGAAAACAATTGCGATACGCTATACTAAAAAAAATTGAAATATCCACCTGTCCTCACCACTCTGCCACAAAACTAGCAAAGTCAGAAAATACAAGTCTTCAAACTTGTCACTTTTGCAGAATAAAGCAAAAAAGTCTTTGTGCTCCTTACTACCAGAAGCAAAATATTATCTGAGTTACCACATATAATAGCTTCTGGATGTGTCCACTTGAGTTGGCTTGGTTTCTGCCGAGCCTTCTTTTTCTTTTTCACAGTCACCTTCCCAGAGATTAATAAGTGGGGGATAGAGTTCATTCAAAGGTATAGAAGAGGTCTTTTGCATATATTTTTTCAATGAATGATGATAATTTTTCCTTTTAAACCTTTTTGCAACATAGACAGAAACAGAGGCAAGACTAATAACAGCAAACATGGATCCCATGACTGCAGCTAGGGCTGTGCTTGTCTCTTGGTCAGTAATATCAAGGGCAAATGCTGAATTTTTTGTAGTAACATTTACACAAGACTTCTGAGTTTGCTGATGGATATTAGATACCGTGAGACAGACTTCATAATCTGTGGAGGGTTGCAAATGGGTAAGATTGTATTCATGCACATCAACTGGGACCCTTGCAGTGTATGTAATGTGTGGGTTATCAATCTTCATAGTTGCAGATGACCATTTTAAGTTAGATGTCATAACATTAGAGTTAGCTTTCCAAGAAACTAGGATGGAATGAGACTCCGCTTGCTTGACATAAATTTTCAGCACCTGAGTACCATCAAGAAGTGTTCCATTCACTCTTATAGTAGCCACTCTTGTATCTGCACCTTCTATATTTTGAGCTACACACGTGTATCGTCCTGAATCCTCCATCTGAATATTTGATATTTCCAGTGTGCCTTCACTACTAACCTTATATTTGTCTGAAAGAGTTTCCACAGTTATTTTATTCCCAAGTGGAGTAACCCAATAAATCTCAGGCTCAGGTTCTGCCATAGCCCGACAATCCAAAAAGACAGTCATGCCAATGTCCAAATTCAAATGGTTTGGGAAAGTATCATGTGAAATCATTGGAAGACACTGTTCACTGGAATCCTGTACTAATACCTCCTTTACTTGTTGTCCTTTGTATTCTGGGGGCATAGCACAAAACATTGATAAGGGTTCCATGAAACGAATATTGGTCTTGTTTGAGTTGATCCAGTGAATGACACAGTCACACCTGAGTGGATTACTGTGAATACTAATCTCCCGCAAATTTGGAAGGGATTCCACTGTTTTTTGGTAGACCGCATTCAAGGCATTATTATTAAGCATCAAGCTTTCCAGAGCAGGAACATTCCGAAATGCTAAACGATGTATGTAAGATAACTTTGGGTTATTGGTTGCTTCAAGCTTTGTAAGTTCAGGAAGATTGTCTAGTGCATACCTATCAACAGACACCAGCTCTCCCATGTTGTTAATCCCAAGTTCTTTCAACCGAAGCATGTTTCTGAAATCTCCTTCTTGAATTTTATGGATTGGGTTTTTGTTAAGATCTAAAAATTTTAAATTTGGGACTTTCTCAAGTGCAAGCTGAGGAACTTTAGCCAACCTGTTATCATAAAATGAGAGGCTTTCAAGACTATCCAAGCCCACTAGAGCATTTCCAGGGATGTCAGTCAGATACATTCCAGCCAGAACTAGACTTCTTAAATTTGACAGTGATTTGAAGTTCATATCTAGTATTCCAATCACAGGATTTTCTCCAATCATCAAAATTTCCAAATTAGGTGTAGAATCAAACCAACGACTATCAATAACTTTTAATTTATTGGAATTAAGATGAAGTCTTAGAAGATTCTTCAAGCCTGAGAATGCATTTGCAGAAATTGTACTGATTTGATTATGGTTGATATAAAGTTCCTGTAGATTGCACAGGTCTTGTAGGCAATAATCTGTCATCTCTGTGATCTGATTTTCCTCCAAGTGTAAAGTGGTTAACTGAGACAGATTTGATAATCCCACATCTTTTATGCTAGTAAAATTATTTTGTGAAAAATCCAACTCTGTTAAATTGAAAAGTTGTTGGAGTTCTTCTGTGGTCTTGGCAATATTGTTGCTTTGTAAGAGAAGGACTTGAGTATCACTGAAAAGGTTACTGGGGATTTTTGTTAAACGAAGATCATTGCAGTCAACTGTTGGAGCTTCTCTGTAGGTTGACTGAGGAGTAAACCAGGGTCTTATTTCACAGACACACAGTTGTGGGCATTCATTATTTTGTATGGAAGTTGCTTGAAATGAATTTATGAGCAGTCCCAGTGCCAGCTGGCAAATCTTTAAAGCGAAACTAATATGAGCCATATTGTTTTCTTCTAGCTTCTCTTATTAATCACAAGAGCAGATCAAATATAGCCTGACAGCGTAAGAAATCAAAAGTTTTTGTTTTAAATGTTTGGGCATCCAAAGAATGGAAGATTTTCTTATGATTTTATCAACAGCAAATATTCCAGTGATTTTTTCAGCAATCTTTTTTCTATTCTCTTTAAGTTGCTTCTGTCACTGTAAAGCAGTATGTCTGAAACGAAAGAAACATAAATTTAAATTCACACATTTCAACATTAAAATCTTTCTTTACTATCTGTAAAAAAACTTTATTTAGTTTAAATACTAGTACCTTTCTGCATACAGACATTATTTAATACAAAATTATTTAAAAACTGTTAATATCTGAAATACAGCAGAAATGTACAGATTTGATCATTATATGATTGCATTTTTCAAATAGATTTTTTAAAAATGCAGAGTTTAGATCAGAGTCTAAAGTAGTTAATTAAAAACAAAAACCTCTGGCAATATACTTAGCAAGCTTCTTGTATCACTTGATAAGAGCAGTCTCAAAGTATATAACATTGTTTTTTTTTATTATGTCACCAGATGCAATATCTGGAGCGTATCTAAATGGTTTTATTCACCAAATACAAGTTCTAAAATAATAGTAGATAATCAATAATTATCCGTTTTAAAAGTGTAACAAGATGCAACTAGCACATTTTACTGAAAAATCTTTGTAAAAATGTATAAGTCTGTAGTTCCTTACCTAAAAAAACCTAAAATAACATCGTTTCATGTTCAGTAGTATCTTATGCTCATTACAGGTACAACCCAAATAGATTTTGAGTGTTTCATAAACAACTAAGATATCCACGACCATTTTGAAGGGCCTAAAAGACCTGGTTCTATGCTTAGGGCCTCAAGTAGTTCTTGGTTGTACCAGTGATATGATATTTGATATTTTTCAGTTGCTTTATACCGGTATTCTAATTTTTGTAATGCTTGACATTTTTATTTTATTTTAATGCTGCTCATTGTTCAGAGTTGCTTGTTGAGATGGGTGGCCATATAAATTGATTTAAAACAGTTAATAAGCAAACTATTTTCCTCTGTACATATATTTTTCTTCAGAATAATCAGTAAGATAGAGATGAATTGGTTGGGCTTTTGTTTAAAACAAAATCATTTTTATTTTTTCAAATAACATTAGTTTTAGTACAATGGATTGCGCTCTCCTTATGAAAATAATTCAGATTCAATTTTATTTAGAAGACATTTGGTTTTCAATTTTATATTTATAGAATAAAAATGATTCTTGCTATGTTAGTATTAGTTATGCTGTATTAGTTATAAAGTAAAGCAGAAACACAGCATGATTTACAATGAATAGTTTCTATTAATATTTATATACCATTAATTATATATCATATATTATGCTATTATATTTTGAGTTTTCCCCAAAAAATATTTATTGTTTTAGCTAAGCAGTTAGCTGACCTTGGTTGATACTGAACAAGGTAAGCAGGAATATCTGCCTAATATATGATAATATATTGAACTATGAATGAGAGAAAAATCTCAGTGCTACAGACTAGATTGGGAAATCAAACCAATTCCATCACGTTACAGGAAAACTATAAAACTTTGCATACTTACCAGGAATCAAGATTGAATCAACAATCTTTACCTAATCCTTTACAAGTTAACAATGAGTTAAAATTTAAAAATATAACTTAAAAAAGTAAAATTTAATTCCTATTTAGTGAAAATGTACTTTAGCAATATGTTGTGCAATATTCCTGTATATTGTATGGCTAATTATACAAACAAATTAAATCTATTGCATACTAATGGATTATTTCTTCATTAAATGTAATTGCAAAGAATTGCTTAAGATGTGAACAGCAGAAAACAGCAGAAAATACATTACAAATAAATGGGGGGGGGGGACACTTGAACATATTGGAGTCTGATTATATTTATAAATTTGGGATTTTCATAATAAATCTCTACTTATCCAGAACTTTCTAATTAAAATGAAGATGCCAGTTTACATAGCCAATTCTAATTTAGCAATGGCTCTATTGGAAAAAGACCAAATTTTAGAAATACATCATAGAAATAAATATACCATAGACATCCAATGAAAACTTATCTGATCAAAGTAGATCTGCAATTTTCAGCTGGCAAACATTTTGCAGAAATAGAAATGTATTTTTATGAATGGATATAATCACACAATCAATAATAATGCCAAGCAGTAAAGTAAATTGGATTAAATACTGTGGCAAGCAGCTGATGAAAATCAAATCGAATTAGAAAATTGAAGAGTTTTTTTATTCTATTCAGAATTTTAGAATGTGCCTTAATTAATCCAGGCAAAGTTTTGTTTCTTTATTTGTTTTTTTTTTTTAAAGTGTTATACAGTTATATATTTTATCAATGGTGATCTGGCAATGGACTTGAAAATCTGGTTATGTGAACAAATATACATCACAGTGGATATCTCTTAAGAGTAAAGATAACACAATAAGAATAGAATAGAATAGAATAGAATAGAATAGAATAGAATAGAATAG